AATCGCTAATCATTGTATAACCAAACAGTTATATTTATCGAATCCACTATTTATCATCCGTTACCCACTTTTCGCTATCCGTCATCCGCTATCCGTAATCCGCTATCTATTAACCGCCATTTGCTATCCGCTACCTGCTACCTGGTACCCGCTACTCGTTATTTATTGAATTTTAATCGCTGTATCAAACAGGCCTTAAGTGAGAGAAAATTTCTAACGTTATTAAAACTTTAAAATCTAAATTTTTTGAAAAATTATGGTAGATCTAAAAAATCGAAGGAAAAAAAAGGAAGATATAAAGGTAATTACCTTATTTATTTTTTATCACTTAATATTTGCTTTCATTATAACTTTTGAATTAATAAAAAATTATACTGTGGAGTACTTGAGAAGGACAACCGAAGCATTTCCTTACCATTTCAGCTTCTTTAACTTCATTCTTATATGAGAAGACTCTAAAACCACCACGACGCCATAACCACCAAAAATCACAGTAGCAGTTTTACCTTTGGGAGAAGTCGGCAGAATGAAAGTTTTTATTTTTTTTGGCGGCCATCGGTGAAAGCAGAAATTGGTTGCATTCTTTCTTGAATAATACTATATAATGATTTGATGTATATATATATATATATATTTATATGTAATTGTTAGATCCTAAATTAGTAGCTAGTAGCCTACTAGTACTGAGCAAATAAGCAATAGTACCGTCGCTACATTCTGAACGTTGTAGCTATTACTCCTTGGATCAGTCTTTGATTGTTTTGATATGATTTCCCGATGTGATTTCCTTATCTGCTGTGATTGTTTCCTTAATCATTCTCTGCTGTGATTCTTCCTTCATAATCGGGAGAAAAGTTAAAGGTTGTTTAGGTAGGGCGAGGCAGCTGAAAGAAGAAACTGGTGGAGACGAGAAGGAGGAGCATATTCAATTCTGGTATTTTTTTTTTTTGCATATCAAAACATTTAGCAACAAAATGAAAAGCATGTTTGGGTGAAATTTGTAGGGGTTTTAAATTTTTTTTATTGTTTATGAATTATAAAT